TTGACACCTACAGTCAATCACTCTGCAAGTCTGAGCAGCAACTTTTCCATTCTCGCTGGCCTCGTTTGGCAAGGGCAGTACAGTCATTTCTGCAGTCCCAGAAATGGGAGCACTAACTGCGTTAGCCCATGTGGGGCCATCCTAACTCCCAGTGGAGATGTGTCCTGGCGGTGTCATTTTCTACCTATGATCAACATACAAATGAGGCTTTATTGTCTTTTCATCTCTTCTTTCTTTATTCCTGTTCTAACGTAGATCTGGATGGGCCTAGCATAACCACCATCGTAGCCCTTCAACTTTTCCACTGATTCTCGGAACCACCCCAGAACCTTCAATAAATTTCTCCATGGCTTACACATCCAATCAATTCCCTGAAACTACCTGCATTCATTTCTAGGGCTGCTGTAACAAAATTACCACAAACTTGTTATTCTCTCATAGTTTGGGAGGCCAGAGTCTGATATCAAGGTGTCAGTTAGCAGGGTTGGTTCCTTCCCTGGGGACTCTGGGGGAGAAGCTGCTTGCTCCATGCTCTTAGTTTCTGATGATTGTTAATCATGCTTTGTGTTTCATGGCTTAGGGCGGCATCATTCCAATCTCTGCCTCTGTAGACACATAGCATTCTTCCTATGTCTGTTTCCAAGTTCCCTTCTTTAGTCACTGCTTTAAGGCCCACCCTAATCCAGTTTGATGACATCTTAACTTGATTACATCTGCAGGGATCCTATTTCCAAATAAGGTCACATTTACAGGTTCCCGGTGGACATGAGTATGGACCCTATTCAATTCTGTACACTTCTCAAGTCTCCACTTTTGGAGCTGCATCCCTCTTAACCTCCTCCCCAACCTTGAGGCCTTCGTACTCTTATTAATGGTGATTATTTCCCATTGCTTTATCAGTGTTAGCCCAAAGCCAGTTATCCACTTTAAATGCCCAGTTACAGACCCACCTGTTCCTAGAACCCAGCCTGTTTATCTTCTCTACCCTATCAGCAGCCTCAAGACATTTTCTACTTCTGCCATCAGGTTTCCAGGTTCCTTGATGCTAATCTACTGAGAAGTGTTTAATACTTCATTAGCACCTCTTTGCATCTCAGTGCGAATCCCCTAATCTCTTCGGTTCTCTCCTACAAATCCCTCCTCCCCAATCAGCCCAGTCCTTGGAGTCTCCCTATCTGGAAGCTGGGAGGCAATAAAGGAACTAGTAAAGGGGCAAGCCTGTGTCTGCCTTGCTGCTCCTGAGGCCCATCACTCAGATGTGCTACTAGCCTCTAACAGTGTCAAGCCTCATTCCTGCCATACAGTTTGAAATCCTCCTCCACAGTGAGCAAGAATTGAGTCAACCTACGGCAGGTCATCTACAGCCTTTAACACCGGAGTATGAGTCCACACAAAACCCTAGTTAACTTGCCAGTCTGGTTGGTTGTACACTTCCTTCCCAATTGTCAGCCCTGAGCTCCCCATGCCATGGGTGGTTCTAAAGGAAGTCAGAAAATCAATCACTTCTTTTCTGTGGCTTATTTTTTTCTAACATTTTATTCTAAAAATTTTCAAATAATCAAATTTGAAAGAATTTGACAGTGAAATACCCTATTACTCAGCACCTGGATGCTACTATCCAGTTTTAAAACTGAGATATACGTCACACAACATTCAAATCGCTTTAAAGTGAATTTTAAAGTGGTTTTTAGTATATTCACTCTGTTGTGTAAACATCACCACTAATTCCAGAACATTTTCATCACCCCAGAAGAATCCCCCAACACATTAACAGTTAGTCCTAATTCCCCTCTCCTGCTATCCCCTGGCAACCACTCATCTACTTTCTGTCTCTACAGATTTGTCTATTCTGGAAATTTCACATAAATAGAATTATACAGTATGTGGCCTTTTGTATCTGGTTTCTTTTACTTAGCATAATGTCTTCAAGGTTCATCCATGCGGTAGCATGTATCAGTATTTCATGCCTTTTTATGATAAATAATATTCCATTGTATAAATAGACAATATTTTATTCATTCCTTCATTAGCTAATGAACATTTGGGTTCTACTTTTTGGCTATTATGAATAACACAACTATGAACCTGTATATACAAATTTTTGTGTGAACATATGTTTTAAATTCTCTGACATATAAGAGTGGAAGTACTGGGTCATACAGTAACGTTAACATTTTATTATATATGCTTTATCATATATCTACCTATCTTAACCATCTTTCTATCCAGATATTAATCCATCTTACATTTTTGTGCAATTGAGAATAAATTGCAAACATTAGTACACCTCACCCCAGATTCATTAGCATGTCTATTACCCAGAATTCAATGCTGTTTAGTTGTTTTCTTCTTTTCAAATAAAATTTCCATACAATAAATTCTAAGTGTATGAGTCAATGAGTTTTAACTTGTGAAATATATCTGTGAAACCCAAAGGAAGATATCAAGATTTGTAAAACATTACCACCACTCCTAAAGTTCCCTCGGGCCTCTTCTGACTCAGTCCTTGCCCCGCCCCACCCTCTCCAAAGGCAATCAGTCTTCTGATTTATTTTCCTTGCCATAAATTAATGTTTTCTGTTCTGGAACTTCGTATAAACAAAATCATACAATATGTGATCTTTTTCCTCTGGTTTCCTTCACCTAGGGTACTGTTTTTGAGATTCATCCATGTTATTGCATGTAGTATTATCTCTGTCATTTTTGTTGCCAAAGTGAATTGTCATTATCTCATGAATGTGTCATAGTTTATTTATTCACCTGTTGATAAATACTTGAGCTGTTTCCAGTTTATGGCTTTTATGAATAAAGCTTCTATGATTCTCTGCCCGTAGGCCTTGATGCAGATCTATGTTTTTATTTCTCTTAGGCAAATATCTCGAACTGGAATTCTATCATAGGATAGGTATATGTTTAGTTTTATAGGAAACTGCCAGATCTTTTCCCAAAGTGGTTGTACCATGTTTCATGCCCACAACGATGTATGAGGCTTACAGATTTTGAACCAAAGAATAAAAACACAAATTACAAACTGCTACTAATAATTTTCATCTGAAGTTTTTAAATAATTAAGTTCATAACATTCTAGCTAATAAATGTCTGCCTTGACTACACTCTCAAATTAACAATGACTTAAAACGAAGGGATGACTCTTTTATGATTAAAAAAGAAAAAAACCACTTAACCAACCAAGAATAGAAGGGAACGTCATCAACCAGATAACTGCCATCTATGAAAACCCACAGCCAAAACATACGTAATAGTGAAAGACCAAATGCTTTTTCTCTAAGATGGGGAACAATATATGGCTGTCTGCCCTCATTTCTATTCAACACTGTTCTAGAGGTTCTAGCTTGGGCAATTAAGCAAGAAAAATGACAGGCATTCAGATTAAAAACTTAGAAGTAAAACTACCTCTACTTGCAGATGACATAATCATATATAGAGAAAATCCTAAGGCCTAAGGCGTCCGCTAAAATGAGGTGGTCAATTTTATGACACTGTAGTCTGGATTTCCAAGATTTCCAAAAATTTAATGGCTGTCTTCAAACTGCCTCTTCCTTTATTCTCATTTTCTTCCTTCCACCTGTGACAAAAATAGCCCAACTCTTTTTTTAAACAACTTCTCACCTGTTCTCTCCATCCCACTCCTCCCTAACATTTTACTCCTGAAATTATTATCTTTCGACCTGTCAACGAAGACCCCTGTTTCTATTTCTTTGCGTTCCCAGGCTCATCCCTTCCTCTTGCACTCCCTTCTAAATTATGCTACTCTCCTGCTCAGTATTTTAAAGTAATTCTCTACCACCTGACTTCTGTTTGTACATGCATGCTTTGTGACTAATCTTAAAAACATTATTGAAATGTAATCTACATATAAAATTCACTCATTTTAAGTGAACGTTCAATGATTCTTACTAAATTTACTTAATTGTTAAACCATCACCATAATCCAGTTTTGAATATTTTCATCACCTTGTAAATATCTCTCCCGGGCCCACCAAAAGTTTACCTACAACATAAGATACACACACACACACACACACACACACACACACACACACACGATAAAAC